GGCTGGAAATGTTCGACACAATGTGGCCTTGAGCTTCTGACGCACATCGTTCATTACGTGATCATCCTTGAAAGCCAGTCTGAGGAGGATGCATTTCTTCGGTCCTTCGCAGACACGGTTGGCTGGTGATCTTTATCTGCTATGCCCATAAATAAATTTTCCCAGATGGCCATTATCCAGTGGCGGCCCTCTTGGAAAAACTCTTTTTCTTGGAGCGTGTCTGAATAGTTGTGCCGCTACTAGCGAAATTGCTCCCAAAGTGCGACTCCAGCGCCACTAGGGCCTACATCACCAACGAGTACCCCATCAGTTCTATTGTTCTTGATTCAAAACCCACTGCTCATAAGTAGTAAATAGTTATAATCCACCACATTCTTTTAAAAACATGCATTTTCACTAAAAAACGTATAATCAACCAAAAACGTTCCTACATGTGACATATGTAAATAAGTATCAAAGTCATTGGTAAACGTTTGTATAAAAAACGCAATCTACATTCTATATTGCACCTCATCTAAATGCTCCCGTATCACATCACCGACTGATCCTGTAACATTTTTCAAGCGGCGATTAATACGACACCAAAAAGATTCCACATTATTGTTTGAACACCGGTTGCGGTATTTATAAAACATATGTGCACACATCCCAGTGAACCCAGGGAGCGATATGCAGCCCTCTGGTTAGTGTAAACTGTCTTTCCAGGCAGCACCCATCGTTCAATTATAGGTAGTATTACTTCGGCTCATCTGATTCCCACTCTCTTAAAGTATCCTTCCTGCTGATTGCGGTCGTACGTGTCAGACATCCCTACGGTAGGTGGTCTCAAAGCAAAAAACTAAAACAAAAGAATCAAAAATAAACTTTTTATATAAATAAAAATGATCTAATTTGATCTAAATCAACATATGGAAAACCATTATAAATATTTCAGTGACTGCTTTTAGAATGAACTACGAATAATGAAACCAGAATAGGGAACCGGTCTGTAAAATGTGCCCCATAACCCTTTTAAATGTCATCTAGAAATGCTTGATAAGAAAAACAAATCATGCGTTATGCTGAACCTCATCCAAATGCTCTCAAAAGTGTTCCCAACCGGGTGGATGTGCTTCGTTTACTTGCAGCATCTCAGCACACACCAATCTTTACCCCGCTGATACTCGTGCACCTGCAACATATGCCCACAAACAATTGTTATTTGGGAAAATAATCCAAAATTCGACATGTACCCAATGTAGGCAAAACCTTCAATTTGGTTCAGTATTTCGGGCAAGTTGGAATGACCAGTTATACCGTCAAAGTCACAAATTAAAAAAAGTGCTCAAAATTGACTTTTATATGAGACTTCGGAAAATCATGAAATTTTTTTACTATGACAGTAAATATAAAAATACTTTTCAAATAGGTTACATGTGAGCTAAAGTGGCCTTGAGAGGGGAGAGGGGGGCATACCCGGTTAACAACCTCGATATATCCTAAACCTACAACACAGCTAACGACACGGGGCACAAACCAGAAAAATATGGAATCTAAAATTATGTTCACAAACAGATCAGTAAACTAAAGGTAAATACAGATCACTAACATAGTGACCTTGTAAAAATAAAAACATTTCCGATAAAATACTTCAAATGTACATAACGTATATGAAGGCCCATTAATTTGTAGACGCCGTCATATCGGAACCCCGAGGAAATAAGTCTATGTCAAAAAAGATCTTTCTTACAAAACAGAGCAAAACGTATGACGGTTGGAAGCACGTTATGCATCAGCAGTCATACGAAATTCATTACCGTAATTTCTTTTGAACAGAGGTGAGTTTTGAATGAATGTAAAATTGTTTTATTGTTTTTAGGTTAAATATTTTCCCGATAACGTTGAATTTCAAAATTTTCATTTTTACATCTTGCGTTTTAATTTGTAACCACCAGGTATCATCGTCTTGTTCTAATATGCACTGCGGGGTGAAACCGAAACTGATTGACGTTCGGCAATTGGATACCGAAGTGACACTAACAAGCACTCTCATTTCCCTTTACAGGCTGTATAAACTGCGTGGCGGCTAACACCGTGATAGAAGACGCTGAGAACAAGGACCAAGACAACACCCACACGTAACCATTTTGTATTATAATCACTCCATATCCCTATAGTGTTGCTACGTTGATATTAATATAACTTCGTTCAAGCTCTCCGAGTCTTCTCCCTGTTTGGTGTATACTACAAAGTGGCGACCCTGCCAGGATGAAAATCCAAGGAAAACCTTCTGGCGACTTCGAACGGTCACCGAAAAGCCAAGCTGACCTGCCATCGGATGTATTGCCTGCACTAATCAGCATTCTGGACCGTCTATACACGAACAGCCAATCTTCAAGACCGTGTCCCCGATCCCAATTCCGGGAAAGTTCGCAATCGGTAAAAATTATAACCGATGGGAGAAGCAAACACAAATCTACCTTCGACACTTTACACATGAGAAACACGCCGACCTGCTGTATAGCCTGCTCACTGGCGAAGCATTTCATATTGTCTCCGAATCCTGAATTCTAGATGACGAGGTAACAGACGACACCTTTAAAAGGATCCGACAACTCTTAGACACCCCCAAACTAGCAATCGAGTACCGTCGGTTAGTTTCACTCCCGCCGGCAACTGGCTGATGAAAACGTTCGAACTCTGCGACATTTAGCAGACCGCGCATTTCCAAACCTGTCCAGATCTGAACGCGATCGGTGGATCTTAGAACAACTCGTCGAGAGCACATCATCCACCAGCGCCAAAAAAGAGTTCTATCTTCAACACCCTGAAGAATTAAACGAAGCCGTTGAAAGGGTCGAACTGTTGGAGAGACGCGACGTAGCGATAGCCCGCCAGAGCGGAGCGCATTCCCCTCACACACCCTATTCTTTCCATGTTAAAACTCCCCGATATGCACCACCGCGAAGTACAGCCAACTCCCGCCGACCCGTACGTTGGACTTGGCGTGGCCGGCGTAGCCAACGAGGGCCTTGGAGCGGAACCAGAAGAGGTGAGCCCCCATCAAATATCATCACCCCAGTCTCATCTACTTCTCCCTACGCGCCGTCCCTCGTCGCTCCACTGACATTCCAACGTAGAACCATATCCGGCCTGATAGACATTGGCTTCTCCCACAGCCCGATCCGAGCAGACATCGCCCGGAACCTACCGGGGGGAATAAAACACAGCAACCACGACCACCTGGTAGCCGCAAACGGTTCCACAATAAAGACGGAAGGAGTGTTAACCGCAACGTTCAGCCTGGGAACACACCGATTATGGCACACGTTTATAATCTCACCAGAAATCCCATTCGATTGCATAATCGGACTGGACCTCCTGAAGGCGGCGAAAAGCCAAATAGACACCTTAACCGCCACTTTAAAAACGCTACACGACACGATACGCCTGCGAGGAAGCAAAATCCCAACACGACAAATAAACCTGTCGATGACAACTGCCCTCCTCACCCGGCAGAAAATCAGCGACTTGATCAAGACCAATGCCCCAGGACTGGAACCCAAATACGCCAAGGAACTTCAGTGCGTAATCAAACAGTACGCGGACGCATTCACCTGGAACGACACGCAGCTAGGGCGGACAGGCGCTGTAAAACACCGAATAGACACGGGAAACGCTCCGCCAACAAAGATCCCTTCTAGGCGCATACCGGCGTTGTGGATAAAGGAGCTAACCAATACCATACGCCATATGGAGGACAGCAACATCATTCAACCATCCACCTCCCCCTGGTCTGCACCGATGGTGTTAGTGCGCAAAAAGCACGGTGGCCTCCGTTTATGCGTAGACTACAGAGAGCTGAATAAAGTGACTAAGAGGGACGCATTTCCACTTCCGAGGGTCGACGATCTGTTCAACGCGCTGGCTAATGCGAAATACTTCGGTACTCTGGACTTGACGTCCGGATATTGGCAGGTGGAAGTAGAGGAAAAACAGCTTTTTCCACACCCGCGGGGCTTTACGAATTCCAGACGATGCCGTTCGGGTTACTGAACGCACCGGCCACGTTTCAACGACTAATGCAGCAGGCCTTGAAGGACCTAATCCCGAACCAATGCCTCGTCTACCTGGACGACATAATATTTCACGGACCCTCGGAAAAGAATCACTTGGATAATCTAAAGGCAGTCACCGACAGACTGAGAAAAACTGGTCTCCGTTTGAAACCGGAAAAATGCCACTTTATGCAGCCCCAGGTTTCATATCTCGGACACACCATCTCGACAGCAGGACTTCACACAGACCCAAAGAAAGTCGAATAGGTGCAATCCTGGCCTACGCCACAGAACCTGGAAGTAGTCAGAAGCCACCTAGGTCTAGCCTCCTAATAAAGACGGTTCATTGCCAACTTTGCTCAAATTGTGTCTCCCTTACACGCGCTGTTAAAAAAGAACAAACCATTCCGACGGGACGCCGAATGCGAAAAGTCATTCCAAACATTAAGAGAACTCCTTTGTTCAGCACCCCTCTTGACACTCCCTGACACGTTCCCGTCAGCTGGACAGTTTATTCTTGACACAGATGCCAGCGACACAGCAATCGGCGCAGTACTGTCACAAATCGGACGAGACGGAAAGGAACACGTTATAGCCTACGGGAGCCGATGCTTAAGCAGAAGCGAAAGGAATTACTGTACTACTCGAAAGCAGATGTTAGCACTGGTATTCTTTCTGAGACATTACAGGCACTATTTAGTTGGCCGCAGATTCATTGTCCGTACTTTTCTTTTTCATTTTTACTTCCTTTTATTGANAAGCGGCCAATCAGAGGGCTGCCATACAACACAAATGGGGAAAGTCAGGCCACCAATCCCTACGATGGTTACAAAACTTCAAAGACGCTGAAGGTCAGGCGGCACGGTGGCAAGAGATAATACAGGAATATGATTTCGAATGCCTCCACAGACCCGGGAAACAACACGGTAATGCCGGCGCGATATCACTACGCCCTGCCCGCCACCATGGAGATTGCCCAATCTGCAACAACCAA